TTCAAAGCAATTTTTTAATAATTGCTTTTTATGCTTAAAATAGCGTCAAATTAAAAAAAAATTTTTTAGAAAATTTTAATCATTTATACCATAATTTTAATGATAAAAATTATTGATCCGTGACATACCCATTCGGTTTTTTTGTTGTATTCAAGAGAGCATTTCGTATTTGCCCCATATCGAATGTCGAAATGGATTTTTTCGGTTTACTTGGCCTTATAAACTTACAATGGCGTTTTAATTTCATCATCGAATTTTGACTGAATCGAATAAATCTAAATCGATTTAACAAAATAAACAATTCAAATTCGCTTTTAGTGCAAAATGGAACGATTATTAGCTACAATCAGATTGATTAAACAACGATTTAATTTCTGAAGAATCGAGGATATTTCAAAATATTTACTTTTAAAAAATCATTCGTTTTATCGAGATTTTCAATTCAGAAATGGAAAAAAGAAGTTTTCCTCTTCAAGGAAAACTTCCCAACTCGCCTCAAACGATTATTGTCGCATTTTATCGAAATGTTCTCTTTATTCTGGTAATTAATTTTGCTGTTTCTAGCAAATTCAAATTAATTAGCAATAAATAATATATATATATATTTATATATATATTATTATATTGAACTATCATAAAAAGTAATGGAATATCAGTCCAAAAATTAAAACAATGCTAAAAATATTGTTTTCAATATTTAAAACAACTTTTTTTTTCGGAAATATTTATTTTTTTGACAATAACCATGCAAATACTACTGAAAAATACTGAAAATATTAAATATAATACAAAATAATATAATATCTAATAATAAATCTAATAATAGTACATTAATACATCATAATACAATAAAAGTCGAAAAATTCGTCCAATTAAAAATGTAAAAACTATTGTAAATTACTTCGAATAGATAAAAATTTTCTGAAGGAAATTTTTAAAATTTGTTTGTTAAAAACTAAGAAGCAAAAGGAATTTGAAGTCAAAGAATTGAAATATTAAAAAGCAAAAAAACATCGAACGAAAATTATTTTTTTGTCCATAGAAACAAATAATGAAAATATCAAAAAAATTCACAAATAGGAAAAAAAGATAAATTAGGTTGAGCAGCAAAGCGTTTTACCTTTCTTTTACGATATTTAGATGGCAACGATTAGCAGCAGTAAGTGGGAATCAACAGTAGCTAGAATTTCGCATCGAGCATTTGCATCCAACATTTGCATCCAGCATTTAGCGTCCTCACTCGATTATTGATTCCATGACGCGTTTCTATATGCGCTATATGCGCATTATATTAAATAGCTAAGAATTCGAGTCAATCAAGCGGAAAATATAATTCATTTTTTCTTATGATATTTTTTAACGATTATTAAAACCTAAAAATCTAAAAATCTAAAATCTAAAATCCTTGTTTAAATTTTTGATTCTTGATTTTTTACATTAGAATTAAATGCAAAAAATAAATCAGTCAGAAATGTCACTCAACTTGATTTAAAAAGGTACTCATAAATTTAATTTAATTTAATCTATGACTTGAATAAATAATTTGTGAATTTATGAAGCAATGAATAATATGAGAAATTAAAGAAAACGGTAAAGAAAACGATATAATAGGGACAAAGTTGCCATTAAGCGCGAAATAGGTGACTGCAAATGCAGTCACGTAATACTTCTGTTCCTCCCAAGCAACTCTTTGGTGGAAGGCTCTTCTAACTGTCCTATCCCAATTGTCAGTAAAAGATAGATGCTTAGGCAGATGTCATGCTGTTAGAAAAAAAAACAATGAGGAAAAATATCGGTAAAGATATTAAAGATATCACTTTTAAAAAACTCAATGGCAAATTTTATTTTTTTATTAATTTTTGATTTTTAGCAAATAACTTCTAAAAAACTTGACTAATTCATTTATTATATTTTATTCATACATTTTATGAATTTTAAAAGAAAGTTGTTAAGGCGATAATATGTAAATATGTAAAAAGAGTCACTAAGCCAGTATCATTACTAATCACTGATTACTAAGCCAGTATCATTCGGATTTTTTAATGGAAAGCTTACTCTTATCAAGGATAAAAGTCGAACGCTTGCTTGTTTGGGTATAAAATCATTCAGCCATTTTATTATTTAATATTTAAGTAATATGAACAACTAACTAAATTTTAAACTTGTTTTTTTCTTCTTTCCATAAAACTTAACAAATAATGAATTCAATAAATTTTGCCTGAAAATTGATTTAAAGACTACGAAACAAACGAAGATATCTGTAATATTTTTTTTATTTTTTTTTATGATTCTCAATTTATCGAGAACACGAATTTTATTGAAAAAATTACATCTATAATAGAGGAAATGACGCATAAAACGACTTTTTTCTTAGCCAAATAAACGAAAAGAGGATAAATTAATAATATTCCATAATAAATATCCTCAGCAACCAACAAAATAAAGTATATTGAATATTTGTCGGTTATCTGATCTACACTAATAAAGCTTATTTGCTTGAAAGTAATGAGCCAACTGTAGAAAATATAAGGACAAAAACAAGATTTGCTTAATGGACGAAGGATAGAGCAATGGGATGGTATGGGAAGGAATCAGCAGAGGAAAATGAAACAGCAGAAAAATAAGCGCAGAAATATTCACATTCAAATAACTGTCAAATAAGAAAACTGTAAATAAGGGTTAAAGAAAAAATTTTATAATTATACGGTAATATGCATCGTACAATCGAATATAAATTAGGACAAAATAAATCTTTTAAAAGAGAATTTTTTTGGAATAGTATAATGGTCAGCGTATCTTGCGAACCGTGTGACCGTGAAGAGAAACGAAGATTGCGAAGTAGCATCTCATTACTTATAGCAACTCTTGCAATATAAATGCTGTTTAGAGAATGGCTGAAATTAAAAAGCAATATACCTATATATGGAGAAAGAGAAGCTTTTAAATGTTGTTTAAAAGGATTAAAACCGATAAGAAAACATCCAATGGAAATTTTCTTCAATTATTCGAATCATTCTCAATAATCATTTAATGAAGTAAAAGGCATAAGAGCATTTATGGAATTTTTCAGTGCATTAGCAGATTTTAAAGGATTAAATAATTTTGAATAAATAATTTGATTTCTTTCAATGAAGCCCAAGCGAGCACTTTTATATGCATTTTAATATGCATGATTCTCCATTCTCTCACCATTTTCACCGTGATAATAATAGTGGGTTGGCTGATTCCACCTATTATAGAGGTGAGAATTTTTACTTGTGAATGGAAATATAGATGGATCCAAGCCCAATTCGGATTTTATTTTCGATGACAAGTTTATTCTCGTTAAGGAAGATCAAACCAATGATGCAAATATGGCTCGACATGCCTCGAACTGGTGTGGAGATTATTTTTATTAATAATGGTACCAAAAAAAATCGAATTAAATTAACGAATAGAAGATCACCAATAACACCTTAACTTTCCTTTAGTTATGTTTTCAACGAACAATCTTCTCTGATAATTCAAATTTTTGGCAACAATAAAATTTTGTATAAAATAAAAATTTTGAGAAAGCAATTGGAAACTATGGAAAGAATCCAAAGCTTTACAACTTGCGGCTTTTATCCTCGTAGATATCCCTTGTTTCCTCGAGATTCCGGATTGCCATGTAGTAATGTAATAACTGAAGTAGGACGAATTTTTATTATTTATTATTTTTATTAGTAAATTATTTAAATCTACAATACATATATTTTAATTACTCATATTTCTAAGTAGAGAGAAAAGATATTTCCCTCATTCATTGTGCCTTGAACGGTCGATTTTTCATTTCGTAAAGTTCATTGGAGTTCATTTCGTAAAGTTCATATACTAAATTCATCGTATGCACCTATTTTTCATAAAGACTTAAAAGCATGCAATCCTGCAGACGAAGTATGCTTTTGGAATTGTGATAGAAACAATTTTTTTGTCCACGAAAACTACTAATTTTTGATAATTTCCACAATAGCGTCTATAAACACTATTCCAAATCATCGCGACTATAGATGAGGAAAATAATTATTAAAGATATATTTATTTAAAACATGATAAAAAATTTGTTTATGGCCTAAAAAAAATTATCAGTCAATTAAAAGTCTGTAAAACTATTTTATACAATTACACAATTATTTTATACAATTTTATCTTAAATTATATTTGTTTATGCATCACTTTTCTATTATATATAAATTAAATAAATAAGACAAATAAGTTTTGAAGTAAGGTTGCCCAATGGTTACTGCTCAGGCAATTGCCAGTACCAAAATTTGGACTCGCAGTTAGATTTAGTTCACTGACTATAAGATGATAACTATAAAATGTCGATGAAGACGAAAAAAATGAGAAATCCTCGGATTTTTGACGACAAGTTCACTCTGATCAGGCACAGAAAACACAGAAAAGAGAGAAGCATGAATCGATTCGCGGTAATCGCCCATCTTTTAATTAAATTAAATTAAATTAAATTCAGTATTTTTATCAAATTCAATTTCTGAAGGCCGTTTTCAATATAATCTCTGCAGGGGAATCTCCCCAAAAATCTGGAAGATACTGGCGATTCACCTGTACTTCTATTGCCAGGGGATATCTCTTCAATGCGAAAAGCCAACTGAGCGGAAATGATAAGGTCTTTTTAAAAAAAAAAAATCTGTTTTTGTAACTAAAGACTTAGATTATATGATATATAATTTTACATTTTCAAATTTTTATGCAAACGCGCGACACAGTACAAGAGAAATCGAGAATGTTCAAAAACTTTTTAGATTACTCATTCTTGCATTTAAACAATACTTTTTAACATTTGAATAATGGCATAAGCTTAAAAAAACTTTTATTTTTAAACAATACTTTTTAACATTTGAATAATGGCATAAGCTTAAAAAAACTTTTATTTTCTTCAGGATATGTGATTATTGTATAAATTAGCAATAAAACAAAAAATATTGGTAAATAATTAAATGATAACCTCACAGCAACAATTATATATTATTAACTTCAGTTCGATCCACAAAAGATTGAATTTTTTTTTCCAATTTATCGATTTGAAAACGATATTCATTTTGCGCATCACGAAGTATTTGATCACTTTCAATATTCTGTTCATTCAAAACCTGAAATAAATAAGTTTAAATAAGTGGAATTAAGTTGAAAGTTGTTCACAATCAACACGGCAAATCTTTCCAAACAAAATATTATATGATACTATGAAATATATGATATTTTAAATAAATTAATACAATTCAATTCGACAGCAACAATACAAGTTCTAGAACAGATTATCTGGGAAATGCGAAAATATTCTTTGCTGAGCAACTCTTGATTACCATTAGGACATCTGCATTTAATTCATAATTGTATAACAAAATATAATAGTAAAGGTACTAAGGTTTACAACAGATAATAAGGAGAAAAGCAAAGCAGACCTTGATAATTTCTTCCATATCACGACATTTATTACGTTCGATCTTTAAGTTTTCTTCATTTTCCACCAAAAGCTGATTTAATCTCTTAATTATTAGATTTTATTAATCTTAAAAGCATTTTAAAAAATCTCTTTAATATTTTAAATCAAATTTTCATAATTCATTTAACCTTTTAAATAGATAAACCTTGCAATGTGCCAAAAGTGCCAAAAAAAAGATTGTAATCACATAAATTTAATTCGTTTCAATTCGAATTCAAATTCAATTTAGAAAACAATTTTAAAATTGACATTACTGAATTAAAACCAGCCAAAATTCAATTCGAATATAATACGAGAAATTTCACTGAATTTATTTCGAAACTATGCTCGCAAAATTTTTTTTGTATATTTCAAACCTCGATTTCGACATTTTTTGAATTTATTAAGTTCAGCATTGCTTGTTCATTCAAAATACTCGCAGGTAATTGACTTGAATTACCTAAAAAATAATGATCACTAGCAAAAGCTAAAGAAGACTGTAGATCAAAGAGCAATAGCCAATGATATTTTTTAAAAAAAAAATATACTGATCTTAACAATACAATAATGGAATAAAAGATTACCATCACTTTGTAAATATTTGATAGCGATGGTTTGAGCCTTCAATAAATCATTCAATTCCAGTGAAGAAGCTGTCATTTGATCAATCTGTTCTCTAAAAGCACATTTCACAAAAGCTCATCATTTAATATTTATATATTGCCTTTATTTAAAGTTTAAAGTTAAATATCAAACGTCAAATACTTTATTTTATAAAAAAATCATTGATTTAATTTCAATAAAAATAATAATAATAAAAATAAAAATAATACTGAAAAAATAACGTATAATATGGAAATAAAAAATCTATACAATTTCTGCTTAATGACAATATCCTTCGCAATATTTTCATTTAACAGTTTAATTTTTTCCAAATGGGCTTCATCCAAAAGCAATTGCAGCTGATATGCCTATACAAATTTTCAATAATTAAAAAAATGACAAACTTAATTAATTAAAAGTGAAAATAATAAAAATTGATGAGACAAGGTAAACAGAAAGACATTTATAATGAATTTTTTTCTGCAAGCACTTTGATTGAATTTTTGTTTTTCAGGTTCTTTCCCAATTGAAATATTTCCTTTATTGCCGATATTTCATGACAATTATTTATTATGATTTACCAGTAATAACTGTAACCAGTAACCTTTAGATATTGATAAGTGATAGTTAATGATACCTTCTCTGATTTTTCTTTGCATTCCGCACGTAATTTCATTATTTCCTCTCGCAATTGCTTTTCAGATTCATGATAAATAGTGGTTATTGAACGTACCAATTCAATTGGCTGCATTTCTAAAAATGATAATATAAAAAGACATAAATAAAAAAATAATATAAAAATATAAAAAAAACCAACTAAATATAATTTAATAATTTAAAACTTATAATAACAATTTAAAACTAAAAATTATACCTTTGGCTAATTTATAAAACTGAAATTGAAATATAAAAATTTAAAAATAATTCCTGACCAAAATAAATTTAAAAATAATTAAAATAAATAGCACAGAAAAGTTGAAGTTTTATAAAAAATTGTGTGAAAAAATTGTGAAAAACTGAGAAATTTTAGATGACAGAAGAGAATACAATACAACATTTTTGACAACATTTACCTGATAAGCCATCTGGACGATCAATCAAATTAGGGGGGGCATCGTCGTCCGAAAATTCACGTAGACAGCAAAATTTGGATGCAAATATTGGTGTTTCGTCATCTTCTTCTCCAATGAAACAAGTAATGGAGCTGCTAGAATTTTTTAGTTCGCTTTTAGAAACTGCTAAAGAAATTTCTTTCTTCTCGAAACTAGGAGCAATCAGGTGAATAAAATCTGATGCGTTAGAATCGGTAATTGGAAGCTTCACACTGTTCATTATTTCTCGACTGTCATTATTAAACGTTAAAGATCCAACTGTTTCCCTTATGCTTTCGATGACCTTAAAAGAGCAAACTAAATAAAAATAAGAATAAAATAAGGATAAAGAAAAAAGAATCCTTATCATTTTCAGTTTTCCTCAAAATATCTAACATAATCAGTGAGCAATTAATAATATATACAATACATCTCATTTTATAGAATGGCTCAGTGGTTTTTTGCTTAATTAGGAGCACTGATGCCTGAGGTTCGATTCCCCGCAGGAGTAAACCTGTCCGAAAATCCGGGTGATGCTGGCGACTCTCCTGTATTTCTAGCGCCAAGGAACTCCTTGGCATATTGCCCAATGCGACAAGCCAGTGGAGCGAGCTTAACCAGTAATGGTGAAGACTTTTTTAAAAAAAAAATACATCCCATTTTACTCATTATCCAATGTTTTAAACGAAATTTACAATCTAAATTTCGAAAGGGAAGGACAACAATGTTTCAAAATTTTATTTTGCTCATGAAAAAAAAGGATTTTCTTGAAAAACACTTTGTTAAGAAAATATTTTATCGAGAAATTCAAACTTTTATTATTTACTGACTCAGAAGTTCATTTTAAGCAAAAAAAAATTTAAAATGCTTAATGTTTACTTAGTGTTTATGGCAATGTTTTGCGCCGTTAGAAACAAAATATGAGCAAATATATGCAATGTGACAAAACCCAGGAGGATTAAGCAAGATTTGGTTCTATTTCAATAATGTTGCTAAATTATAATATCATAATATTACTGCGAAAAGCTATTCATAAATCAATTGCCTTTATCCACGATAATTTTGTTAGGAATATTAACTACTGAGAAACCAAATTACTTGAGAAAGCTTTTTTACCATCTACGACTAATTTTAAAACGAAATTATAAATGTATAACAATACTTGGTATTTTGAAAGTATTAACTAGTGGCAGTCATAATCATATTACTTCGAATCTAGTTGCTTCAGACCGATTTATACTTTTGTATTCTATTCAGTTGCTATTTTTTGTATATATAATATTATGTAATAATACCGAATGGCCAGACAAAAGATGATATTATAACCAGGATAACGGCAGCTAAAAATGCGTTCTTCGGGTTGACGAAACCTATATGCCGAAATCACCAAAAAAACGAAAATCCGAGCCTATAATAAGCTGCGATTCGTTCGATCTTGCTATATGGCTGCGAGACATGACCAATGAGAATGAAGAATATTAAGAAATTACCTTTAACCATTCATGTCTAAGATATATTTTTATGGGTTCGTCGAGTGGATAAAATCTCACATAATCGCATCCACCTTCGCTAAAATACCACTTGCATTAACAGTACCATCGCAAAGGGTCGCCTTCACTGGTTAGGACATATTTTTCATTGCCCACCACAAGAGATGACGCATATTTCGTTACTTGCCAAACCTTGTGATAAGTGGCGTCAAAAACAAGATGGGCCAATTAAAACCCAGAATGATACAGTCAGGAGAAATTTTGCGTATATAGGTGGACCAGCGATCCAGCGATATACGACTTATATGATGGAAAAAGGAATGGCTTCTATTACTATCAACTTGGAAAATCTTACCCTTGACTCCGTAGTCAGTGGAGCCAGCCAAACCAGTAATGGTCATAGAGCTCTTAAAAGAAGAAAAAAAATTATGCTTGATGCTTATATAAATATATAAATAAAAAATGGTTCAGTGGGTTGTTGCTCAATTGGGAGCGCCGATGTTGAGGTTCGATTCCCCGCAGGAGTAAACCTGTACAAAAATCCGGGTGATGCTGGCGACTCACCTCTATTTCTGTCGCCAAGGAACTTCCTGGCACGTTGCCCGATGCGACAAGCCAGTGGAGCGAGTTTAACCAGTACTAGTGAGGATTCTTAAAAAAAATATATATGTATATATAAATAACTAAATATCAGACAAAATCAATACAAGCATATTTGCACACTAAGATTATATATATATATATATATATGAATAATAATCAGATGTTATATATAAACAAATGCGCAAACAAATACATAGAAATATTCTAGGGAAGCTTTAGGGAACTATGTGAACAACAAATGAGGCAGCAATGCTAATGCTTAATGGATTAAATAAAAATATGCATTTTTTTGATATGTGCGAATATTACCACTCCACCGAAAGTGGTATGAATTTTTAATTTGGAATTTCGAATTTTAGAGTTATTCCAACATTGTCCTCCGCGATAATTACAGATCTATCTGCTCCCCCTCTATCACCAAGCGAATCTCTAACAGTCAGCGGAATCTAAAGCAGGAATGACGAGCGGTTCCAGAAGAAATCAGGCCGAACCACAACATTCCTATCGTATTCACTGCAGTGACGACAACCAGGTGTGAAAAAAAGAATTCGTAAAATGGATAGAATAAACTGCAGAATTGCTACCTCAAAATCGTCATCTTTAAGAGAATCGTATTCTTCCGTGGACCCGTTCGTTGCCATTACAAATTTCTCATTATTATCCACAAATATTCAATATTTAAAAATCTGAAAATTACAAAAAATCCGCAGCGCTTAATGGAATTTTTCTATGAAAAAAAAGCTGAACTATTCAATTATTGTAAAAAATTCTGCAGCAAATTTCACGAAAAAATTCTCTAAGACTCTTTCTAAATAGTATTTTATAATTAATAATAATATTTATCAAATATTATTGCAAATACTAACGGTAAGCAATTTTGTCAACGATTAAATAACTGCTTACAAATAAAACTGAGCTGCAAACTGAACCGATTTTAAACGAAATTTTACAGAATGCACGTTATCGGTACATTGTAAATAATATATTTAACAGCACAAAATTCATTAATCACTGTTAATTTATCAAAATCTTCTGGAAAAATTATTTCATTGTTATATTAAAAAATTTCATTCGATCATTTAGGAAAATGAAACTTTTGGGAAAAAGGAAATTTTCATTTTACAAGAAAATATAAATTTTTAAAACATAAATATAATAAATAAATATATAAAACATAATTATATATATAAATATATATAATTTTATATAAATATAAATTATGAATATAATTTTATATATATTTTTTATACACATAAGTATAAATTTTTAAAACATAAACATATATATATATATGAACATATATATATTATATATATTATTTTTTAAATTTTTAAAATTTTTTAAATAAATTTTCCACCGTTCCTCTAATAGCACAAAGAGTCAGGTTTTCCCAAGTCGTTTGACTCCGATACCATAGCTGAAAGTTATGAAAACCACTCCTTTTTCCATCATCGAAACCCATTGCTGGACCATTTATGTTTTGAAATCTCTCCATATCGGCTAAAGTCTCTGATTAGTCTTCCTCACTTTTCACATCGCCTTGAGTTTAGCAAGTAGCGAGATGTACGTTAAATTCTGTGATGGGTGGCGAAGAATGTGGCTAACATGTGAGGATGGATGCAATAATGTGAGATTCTATCGGCTCGATGGGCAAATTTTAAAGTGTCCTTGGGCAAGGATGGTCGAATGTAGATAACTTCTTGATATGTTCCAATCCTCTCGGCCATCCTGTTCAGTTATATAGCCAGATAGATACGAACTTCCTTTTAATGATGGTTCGCGACGATTTCATGGCTACTGCTACTATCCCAGCTACTGCTATCTCGATTGGAATTATATTTTTCTTTTGGCCATTTGATACAAAAGTGAACTCAAATCTTTAAACCAAAATCTCTCATTTTCTCAATCGATGATGAATTTATCAATGAATGAATGTTTTTTGAGCATTTTATATACGGAGCATAAATTTACTTACTTTTATCGATACATGGCCTTAGCAATTATCAGCACGATAAGTCAACATCATAAGGATATTCAGGATTTGAGAGACTGCTTTCTTGAGACCACTTTGCACACTTATTGAGTGCCTACAAGCGATATTCATAAATCATTCCAGCGCATAAATGAATATTGTTTAGGAAAGAAAAAAAGCCATCGATGGTAGTAAGAGGGATGGATTTAGACCGAGGCACGAGTATGCTGAGGCACTTATTTTAAAAGTAAAATATTTCGATTGATCTTATTTAGAAAACTGGAATCCATTATCCGCCAGAGTTTCGTTTCGTTCTACCTACTGAATCGAAAGAAGAGGTAAAATTAATTAAGTGATATTAGATTTTTGGAGCGATATTTGGAGCGATGTTCCAACAATAGTGTACACTCGTGCCTCAGCATACTCGTGCCTCGGTCTAAATCCATCCCTCTTACTACCATCGATTTTGATAAAAATGAAATTTCTCAGAATTTCCTAGAGATCTAGTCCAGTGGATTAATTTCTCGATTGTTATCACATATGTCCTATCATCCTTCTTGGAGATTGGGAGACACGAATTTTTGATTGATTGATTGATTGATTAAAGGATAGGAAACGAAGCTTTGTTTTTTATTTTTGTTATTACTTTAAAATATGAATAAACATCAAAATAATTTTTAATATCATGATGATTGCAAAGCAGAACTGAGCAGAGTGCTATAAAAAGAAATAAAAAATTCACGATTAATGATAATTCATGACTGATTAGCGATGGAAATACAGTTGGACAATGGATTTTTTAATATTTCAGATGAAAATAAGAGCCTTTACCAGGGAGTCACGGAAGAATATAAACGGATCGCCAGCCAGTAGGATTTTTTAGTGATAGATTTAGTCTTTCTTGGTAAAAAATTAATTCAATTCAAATTCAAAAAGTACCCTTTTGAACTTGAATTTGATGTGACAAGAATGTTACAAGAAAACTTTTTGCGACTTTTTTTCGCAGATTCCGCAAAATGATTTTTGATTTTTGTTTAATTTCGGTCAACAGGAAATTCAAATATTGTATAAAAAGAGAAAGATTTCACCATTAAAGATAGTCAAAAAAATTATTTTCTAAGATATTTTTAATTCAGATGATATTCATTCATGTTAGAACAGCTGAGATGCCATCGA